AAATACTAATATATATAAATATTCACGCATAAAAATTCTTGGAAATTCTTTTAACGTAGTTTTTATATTTTTTTTTATTAAATCAAACTTAATCAAATATAAATTCTTTAATTACTTTTTCTTGTATATTTCATATGAGCAAACACTCCACTTTTTATTGACTTTATTATCGTCTAATATTTTCCGACACACGAATACATCGTAGAGAAAATAGGAGTTATTAACAAGTAATGTTTTTGTGTAAAATGTATACTGATAGATGCAACAAATATATGTTGTGTATGCATATATATATATATAATATATATACATATATATATATATATTTATATATTTATACATGTATATATATATATATTGATTAGTAGCGAATAGGCGTGTTAGTGCGAAGACTTATTGTCGGCGCCTGCAATAGAAAGTGAAGTTAGCACCAAAGCCCCAATCGTATTAAAATTTAATGTTTTTAAAACAAATAAATGTGACGTAGTATCATTTTAGCAAAATCACTATTTTAAACATTGGAAATATCTTTTTATAAGAGGGAAATATGGTCAAGAGTTTCTTTTTCTTTTTTTTCCCGACATATACCGATTTTTTTAGTGCAATACTATTTTTAGTAATAAAAACGAATCACAGCATACTGTAAACAAAAGGTGTTTCCACTCTACACTTCTAATATTATCACTTGAACGAATTTTGATATATTGTTTGTTTTGTTTTGATATATCTAAATATATACACACTTTTATATTGTAATGTACTTACGATGGTATTAGTGGCGGTGGTAAGCCTGGACTAGCCCGAGCCTGTGGTGGTCCACCAGGTCCAGGTCTATTGGGAATAGCTGGTGCTGGCCGGACATTGGCAGGAACAGGCGGCGGTACTCGTGAACTAGAAAGAGGTGGTGGCTGTGTCACTCCACGTCTTGGCCCACCAGGAGATGGTGGCGATAACCTAAAGTGGATTCTCTTGCTAAAGATCATCTAATATCTATCGAATTGTACTAGCTTTACTGACTTCTTTTACTGCTGGGCTTAAATTATAATCAATTAAATAAAAAAAAATAAATCTATAAAATAAAAATAAAAATATAGAAACTATTGTAACGCAATATGTTTTAAAATTGAAACAAAATATTAATGCTCAACTGAACACTTTAATAAGAAAGAAATGAAGAAAAGAAAATCAAATGGTATACCATTTTCTTGTTGGTATAAAATTAACTGATAAAATCATGATAATCTTACCCAAGACTGTTGTAATGACGTTCAAGTGTACGAGGAAAAAGTGCATAGTGTAAAATTCGATAACAGCAAATTAGTTGATTTCTAGTTTTTACTATGGATAATAAGATAATGTTTACCTCGGATTTTCTCCAGAAGCCAACCAATCATTCTTCACCGGGGGTGGTACTGGGGTTGTTACTGTAGCCATTGAAACATCTCCAATAATGCGAAGGGATTCCTTACATGCGTGATACATGCGTAACATTTCTTCTCGTTTCTGTGCCTCTTCGGGAGACTCTTCCATCATAGATGCCTGGAATCAAATAAAAATATGATAGTACAATTGTATGATTGAAAAAAAGAAATTAAAATAATTTCAAATTATGTATGACTTTCATAAAGGATATTATTAGGAAAATAGGATTTGTTGGTGGGATAGGACTTACAATTACAGGATCAATAAAATTCTTGAATATATTTATTTCGTCTTCCGTCAACTGGTAAAAAATGTAGGAATGTTTACTGATAAATAAGAAAGTGATAACAATAAATTATCTTAATATGAAATTGTCTTACCTGATCGCCGCTCGCATAAAGATGTGCTAATAATTCTCCATTAATAAAGTCTTTAGCATTGTTAATGATGAGATGCATAATTGTTTTTGGAACAAGATCGCGAGTAGTTTTGGTAACAATTTTCATGTAAGAATCCACCAGATTCCTAATTGTTTCCACTTGACGTTCTAATTGAGGATCCATCGAAGATTGATTTTCAGTACCACCCTAAACATACAAATGAAATTGTAAATAATTTGATATTTTAATCTTTTTTTAATATGGAAATAATCAAATCTATTTTATAAGAAAAAATAACTACATGATTAAATAAAGATAAAATTATACTACCAACGTTATGGTCACATTGTAGATTTGCATTATAGTCAATACTAACTAAATACATTAAATACTATATCTATGTCAATGTGTAGTAAGTATATTAAATTGTCTCGTAACAGCATTTAATTAAAATATTTTACAAAGTTTTCTTCTTTATTGTCTTTCAATTATTCAAATAGTTATAATATTGTTGATCAATTAAGTGCATCTTAATTAGTGTAATATATTGAGTGGAGGTGTATGCATCATGTGTACTGCGTGTTAGAAGAATACACTTTTTATACTGTTTTACCAACCTCGTATCCTTCCTTTAGTTGTTCAAAATTGAAGACAAAAAGATTTTATTATATATATGCAGAGAAAGAGACAATTAAAATAATATATTAATTAAATATTATGAAAAATGTAATAGCATGCAGAATCACACGACTTATGATTCCATTTTTTTAGAACAAATCTTTCATTATTTTTTTACAAGCTAGACTAAATCACACCACCACACAGTTAGTTGTTATAATTAGAAATGAGTTAGAAATGAAACAAGAATTCGGAGATCACTCTTTTCTTTTTTAAGAACTCACCACCTTCTGCTTATCCTAAAATAAATCATAAAATATTGCTCTAATCAATTTAATACAACACATTTAACATTTGGACAATTATTATTTTAAAAATTGTCATGATCACCTAAATGAAAAAAAAGCAAAAAAAACAGGAACTATTTTTTTTAAATTTACAAATTGGTATTAATACACATATTTAGTCACGTATACATTGATACATTTACAACTAAGATTTCATAGAAAGTTTACAGATTTGATATATGTGTAAGAATTTCACTAACAATAAGAGAGACACCTGTTATTGTATTTACGATATATTGCAATGCTTGTTAATATATACTTTAATTGTCTAGTAGTAAAATAAATGTACTTTCGTTATCTACATTATTGAGTCCTCAAACTCTCAAAGAATTTTACATATGTGATTTTAAAAATACAAAAAGACAAAAATGAATTGAAATATATAAACAAAATATTACCTCTCCTTCGCCATTCGCTTGTTCCGTGGATTTCTCAGGATATACTCCAGCTCTTAGTAACGAGGCCTTCCAAGAATCAACATCATCCTGCGTTTCACAACTCAATTCAAGTTGTTTCGAATCTTTATAAACGTTTCTTCCTTCGGGATTGAATAATGCAAATAGATGTCGTCGAGACATGAAACTTTGCTCTAAATCGCGCAGTTTCAAACCATCAAGAGGTAGCATGTACTTCTTTTCACGTTCCTTTAAGATGAATAAAATAGATATATGTGCATGTATAGATTATATCAAAATAATAAATTCGAAATTATAATAGATTCGTTTCAATTGTATTTAAAAGAATTTGATTTCTTTAAATGGTATTTACCTCTTCATCTTTGAACCAAGAAATGCTTTCAGCAGTTAAAACAAACCAGTAGTCTTTGGATCCTCCTTTCATAATGCCAAGATTATGAATGCACATGTAACCTTTACGTATTACTTGATTGCCTAAAGTATGTCGCCCAGCCTTAACTGCATTTTCCGATGATTGCTGAGCACTGTAACATAAAAATAAATATATAATGAAATGTATAAAAATATACAGTTTTATATATTCTTGTGCAAGGCCCACCATAATGGTGTACCACAAAAATTGCACTAGTCACACTTTTATCGAACAAACTAGCAGGGTCAAAATCCTAGCATTAGGTTTCAAAAATTATGCAAACATGTTATATCATAAATATTAGAGCAAAATGTATTATAAATATAATATATATATCTTAATGACTAGAGAGAGAAAAAAAAAGAGAAAAATTGCAAAATAAATGCAATATAAATGAAAAATAAATTATAAAAGTAAATGTCAAACGTATATGTGTATTTTAAATGAAAATGTAACTCTCTTAGCATTCTTGAAAAAGCAAATTTGTTTTTGTAACAATTCTTTTTTATTTTTTCTTCCTTTTTTTTTTTTTATCAACAGTGAGAAACTTTAAAACATTCTACTGTGCCACATCTTGAAAATATAAATTTGCTGTAAAAAAATTTCAAACATGCAGACATGTATATTTCAGATTCCTGTAATTTAAAAAAATAAGCTTGTAAATATACCTTGTAACAATCATTCAAAAAATAGTATTTACACACTGCAAAGAGAACTATTTACACCTGCAATCGAAGCAACTTCTTATTAACATAATGTATCGCTTAAGCACATTTTAAATGTATGAAATGGTTTGGAATGTGGACAAAAAAAATGTAGAATTGATGTTGCTGTGTTTAGTACATTATTTTTGTCTAAATATTCATGAATGACTTACATTATTTTATATATATATATATATTGGGTTGGCAAGAAAATAATTGCCGATTTTGATTATAAATGTCTCACTCCCATTTTAATAATACTCGTTAATGTTATGATTTTTTTTTTTATTATATACGTTATCTGTAATCCTTACTTAGCGTTATAAAATCATTGCGCAGATATTATCTTAATGTTCTTTTTTTCAATATTAATATGGAGTGCAAAAATGAACATTTTCGCAATATCTTGCTTTATTATTTCCGTAAAGGAAAGAACGCAAAGCAAGCCGTAAAAAAGATACGTGATGTGTATGGTGATGAAGCCCTTAAAGAAAGGCAATGCCGAAATTGGTTTGAAAAATTCCGTTCTGGAGATTTTTCTCTTAAAGATGACCAACGTTCAGGTCGATCAGTTAAGCTGAGTGAGGATGAAATGAAAACCATCATCAAAGCGGATCGTCACGTAACTACACGGGAGATTGCAGAGAAGGTAAATGTTTCACATACAACCGTTGAGAATCATTTAAAAAGTGTTGGGCTCGTTAAGAAGCTGGATATTTGGGTTCCGCACGATTTGAAAGAAATTCATCTGACACAGCGTATCAACGTTTGCGATTTATTGCTTAAACGCAATGAATTCGATCCGTTTTTAAAACGAATCATCACTGGAAACGAAAAGTGGATTGTATACAACAATGTCAATCGAAAACGATCGTGGTGCACGTCTAATGAGTCATCGCAAACCACTTCAAAGGCACAAATATCCAAAAAAAAGAAGATTTTTCTGTCAATTTGGTGGGATTGGAAACGTTCGGTGTATTTTAAGCTGCTTCCAAGGAACCAAACCATTCATTCGGAGGTCTACTGTTGGCAACTAGACAAATTGAATGCTAGGCAACACACGTCTTTGGCCATTCGGAAAAAATTGATGGATATTGGTTTGGATTTGATGATACACCCACCATATAGCCCTGATCTTGCACCATCGGATTATCACTTATTTCGATCTCTGGACAACTCCCTCCGTGGTAAAACTTTTAATGATGATGACGTTGTAAAATCGCACTTACTTCAGTTTTTGACCGAAAAAGATCAGACTTTCTACGAGCGTGGAATTTTCAAGTTGTCAGAAAGATGGCAAAAGGTCATCGAACAAAATGGAAAATACATCATAGATTAAAGTTCATTCCAAGTAAGAAAAAAGCCACTTTTATGGAAAAAAAATCGGCAATTACTTTCTTGCCAACCCAATATATCAATTATTTATCTCGTTTCAAACAAAAAACAATAAAAATTCTTAATATGTAACATGTAATGAATATAAAAATAAAAAAGAAATAATTTAAGTTGGAATAGTGTAAAGTTAAATAACAGACGAATTCTAATAAGAGTACTATTATATTTAACATCGTATTATAATCAATTTACTTAGAAACATTTTTCAAAAAAACTAATCTTCCATTAATTTTATGCTCCTCAAAGTACTAATGTCACATCCATCATATAAATGATAAATCATATAAGAGATGTATAATTAAAAAATCTAGATCGTATTATCAAACAATAAATGAAAATAAATGATTAGAGAACATGTGTGTGGGAAAAATATTAAATTTCAATTAAAAATTAATATACCTTAGTGCAGTTTTAGTTACAATAAACTTTATCACTATGGTATATATATTATATAATATGAAAATATATATTTTTTTTTATGTCTTTTATACATTCATCGTATAAGGAATAATATTAAATCAAGCCAGAGATTGCTGTCGGTTGCGATTCATATATATATATATATATAAATATATATATATATATTGTAATAAAACATCATTGTAAGGTAAAAGCCAAAAACATTATCGGAAGGATAAGCATAAGAGAAAGCGTGAAAATGGAAGGAACAAAAAATGTAGTGGAAATTTTTTTGTCAATGTATTTTAACATTTCTTACCTTGCATTATGGCTACTGGCCGCCGCGCTGCCGATACAATTAAATCATTTTTTTAATTGTAAAATATAAAGAAGTCGATCATGAATAGAGACATTTGTGGAAGAAAGTATACATGTTATGTCGATCAGAGCAAGGCATATATGATATATCATTCATGCATAACAAGTTTTCTTTAGATAAAAAATGTTTTCGATTAACATTAGTATTATAAAAATATACTTATAGTATATATACGTATATGTATGTTTAAATATGCCTTACCCCAGTATGGTACTAGAAGTTAAATTAAGAAGTTTATGGCATTATTTGTCAGCAACATCATTATTGTTATTTCAAAAATTTATTTGTCTACATCATTTTTTTAGACTGTCTGCTTGTACAATGAATATGAAATAAATATTTAAAATGAAGAATTATCTAACTAATACTGATAATATATGCCAGAGATATTTTTTTTTTTTTATATTGAAGTAATAAATAAACGGGATTGCATTATATATTTTAGATATATTCTTGCAAATGAATAATCCCAATTTTTTCTCTCACGACAAAATTGTTATATAAGAGATACAAGAATAAATTTTATTGCAAAGATTGTTAACATGTACACACATATTAATTAGGCATTTAGGTAATAAAATCATGCAAAAGGAAGTTAAATAAATACTTATTGTTAGAAATTTCATGTATCTTTCCTAAAAAACATCATTTAATTATTTATATACATTCAAGTGAGAATATCTCTGGTATTACATATGATATCATTCTATGTTTTGTTTGTGTTAAATGATTTAAATCAAGAAGATGCATAAGTAACATTATAAATAAAACGATACTATAAAAGAAAAATATCTTTTGCATTTTAAAATCAAAATGACAAAAAAAGCATAAAAAATTTTCACAAATATATGTGTCACACCTGAGCAGCAGCGTATGAATACAATAAATGCGCGAAAAAGCATTTGAAGCAATGAAATATTTGTTACTAAATAGCTAAGATTACATAACTTTTTATGAAGCAAAATTTATCGAGTATATTCGCATAAATTAACTAGATTGAACCAAATGAATAATACCGCATGCACTGATCGTGAAAAAAGCATTTTCTAATAAAAAAGAAAATTAAAATAAAACAAAAATCAACAGAAAAATTGTACAGCTAAAAAAAAAATTAAATTGTTCATATGTTGCACCTAATACAGCTCATACTTGTGAAATATTGTTTCTATGAGATTGTAAGCACTCGTAGATGTGAATTCAATAATGTATTACTGCTCCTTCAACAATAGAATGTGTTATCATGCATCGTATTGCTTTCTTATCGGTAACAAAAATTTCTCAAAGATTAAAATAATAGTGTTCAAATATAATCTATACAAGTTAATTAAAATGATATCTTTTAAGTCTTGTATTTATATAGAATACAAATTTAGATATTATTCATTCATTCTTGCATGATTTGACAAAAACTTTAGTCTTTGTTTTCTAATACTATAATTTCTAACTTTAGCGATGATATATGGATTAAAATATAAGGTTTATTCTACGGTAAGCTACTTGGTTTGTTATATAATGATATAATTTGATTGAAATTCTGTATTCTAGGTGAAAAACTAATGTATTATTATCATTATCTTTTTCCGTATCATAAAGTAAGCATTAACTCTACACGAAATGTTATCGATATATTAGAAATGTTTAGCATACATCATTGAATATTATATATCATATAAACTATATATCGGTAACTGATAAATATTTAAATAAAATCAAAGAAAATATAATAGCAGGCACAAATGTAACAAAAGCCACACACAAAAGTGATTATACCAAACTTGCAAAAATTTAATTTCTTGTATCATATTATTTACTTTCATGAATACTAATTACATCTAGAATAATGTACAGACAAATAATATTAAAATGATACTTACTTGGCAAAACCAATAAAATCTTCATGGTTAGTATTCATGTAGGCAAGCTCACAATCCACTAAAAGTATTAATTGCTCTTTACACATTTGTTCACGTTGTCGAACGTGAGTGGTTATAATACGTTCCGTTTCTTCTCTTAATCTAGGATAACGTGACATCTGTAATAATCAAAATTATATATTTTAATAAATTGTATATAAATTTTACAAAAAGAAAAAGAAAAAGTAAGAAAATGCAACGTACCCTATCTGTACAAATACGAACAACATTGCTAAGTTCTTGTACGACTAGGTCCACACATTTCAAGCTAGGCTCTTTAAGCCTATTAATTTGTTTTTTGACTATTGCCTCAAAGGCCATATCAGGCGTGAATAATCCTACCCTAATACCTATAATATTTCAATAGTGATATTTAATATTACATAATGTAATATAAAAGAATGAAAAGGAATTTGAAGCAGATAATTATAAATGTAACTGACCATGAATATTTCTAATAGCAAAGGCAATTTCTCTTCTGAGTTCTTTCTCATCAAATTCCATTTTAACAATTTCGAATGGAAAACGTTCGTGGAATAATCTATTTATCTTTGCACCACCACTAAGCTCCATTGTGTTAATTTGTGCCGAACCAGAACCTTCTATAGTCCGTTCAAAATCTGACTGAAGTTGTTGTATCATCCTTAAAAATATTTATAGTGAAATCTAAGAACTTATATTAAGTGTTGTTATTATTATGGGTAGAGAGCCTTGATATTATGCAAGATCATAAGTCAAAGCAATTAAATAATTCTATTTAAAAAAATTACTTGTCTATTTACATGTGTTGAGATTCAACATTAAATTACTCTCATTTAAATTTCATTACATAAATTAAATTATAGAGTTTACGCAAAAGCTTTATATTTTCTTCCAAAATGTCATGCATATCGTCGAATGTTTCAAATCGTTAGTATGTTATTCAATTTCATTGTGTTATCTACATTCAAAATCAATAATCACACCATTTTTTTCAAATAATAAATGTGTGAAGTTTAATAACTTCACTGAAATATATAAAACGATACTTTTCTGATCTGCTTATTCTAGAATCTTTTAAGCAAACAACACACAATCTATTAAAAAATTTTCAAATATACAAGAGAATATACCTACATATACATTTGAATTGATCTGAAAAAAAAAAAAAATAACAATTGTCTTAAATGTCAGGACCCTCCACCCATAACGAAACTTTGTTTAGAAATAAACTAGATTGTTGTAAATCCTTTTGCAGAACACGTTATTTAAATATTATATGATTCATAGAAAAGTTCAAAGAAACATATCTGTGTGTTAAAAAAATGTACTGTCACGTACTGTAACATAGCCTTTGTTTTAATAGCAGGATCATCCGGTCTAAAATGTTTATACTGCTCGACATCTTTTTCCAATGTAAGAAGCTGTTTTTGTAATCTATCTCGTAAAGCAGGAAGGGTATCCCTGATGTGATTTGTAAGTTGTTGATTTAGAACTCGTTGCAGATAGGGTGTACCCAATCTGTCTGCTAAGTGTCGGTAAGAAGGATGACTAGAGTAATAAATAATTATTGTTTTACATTTGAAATTATATTTATGAAGCTAACATAAATTATTCTATAAGTTATTTACCTAAGAAAGAATTTTCTTTCAGCTGCTAAAGCATTTTTAATATCCTTACGCCCCTCGATATCTTTCTGACTTCTGTTAACAACACCAATGTAGCCTCTTCGTAAAGGTAATAATTTATTCTCCAAAATATCTCTTGCATCAGTACCGTCATCCATAAGATCCAGTTTAGTAATAACACCAATAGTACGTACACCTTATCAATTATTTTATATTGTTATTTATATATTTAGGAAACTGATATATGTTAAAATGTAGGAACACTTACCCTGTGGATCAACTTCTTTAGCAAGTTTAAGAGCATCACTGTTTGCCAAGTCAGTATTAGCTGGTGTTACTGCCAATATAAGACAATTATCTCTTCTAATAAATTGAAAAATCATAGCTTTGATTTGAGCTTCTATATCAACCGGCTGATCTCCAATTGGTACTTTTGTGAGACCAGGTAGATCGATCAACGTCAGATTGAGAACTATAAAAGAATTGATGTTAGTACAAGTCACTTGATTATGAAATGTGAATATTCAATCAAATAATATTTACCATTAGGCGAATATACTCTTAAATTTATGGGTATATTAGATATACCCTTGTTACTGCCAGTTACTCTATCTGTTTCAGATTCTATTTCTTTTCGTACTTCATCAAAGTCCACAAACTTCTTCCCCTTGCAGTGCAAAAATTCAGCATATTCTGTAAAAATAAAAAGCATTCGTTGTAATAAATAATTGTGAATCTTTTATAGAAGAATTTCAGATAATGATAGAAAGTGAGATGCCAATGTACCGAATTTCCTGTTTGTTATGAACTCAGACATACAGGAAGTATGATAACCGAAAACATAACTATACAACTAAGTTTTGACATTCATATATATATATATTAATTTTATCTAATACAAATATAATCTTCCTTTTTACATATTTTTCAAACATTCTTTTCACAAACATACTTTTTAATGCGATTATATTTGTGATGACTCACCCGTAGTGCTATGAATCAATTGTAAGATGAGCGGTCTTCTAGTTACAATACCAGAACCTCTGGGTAAGAAATCCCTGAAAAATAAACATTCAATTTTGCAAACAACTATTACTGAAAGATTATTTTCAAGAAAGAGGATGAAAAATAATATAATATAATATAATATATAATATATTATATTATAAAGTAATTTAATAACAATGGACAAAAACAAAGAAAGAAAGGTATTGTATATTTACACTTGCACAAGTTAAAATGAGATATCATTAGTGGGTTTCATAAATTGGTCAAGAAATAATGATGACGTGCTTAATAACGCTTTTTAAAATTCTTCTTTGTTACGTATAAATGTTGTGTGTGTATATACGTGCGTGTAATTTTGTTCTCATCTCGCACGCAACGAAACTTTTCATAGAAACTTTGTAATTAGCAAAAAGAACAAATATTTTCTTTTTCTACGACGATAGAGACGCAAAGAAGAAGGAAGCTTTGTTTTCCAAACGGAAGATTAAATATTTCCATTGACAAATCCGGACGGTAGATAAAATATTGACGTTTAAAAAACGAATCGTCGACGATTCATGCCAACTCCGATTTCATATTTAAAGTACATGGCATTAAGATCGGAACAATGAGATGTTTGAATTTTTGAAATCGGCGATGACTGTCTTCTTCTTCTTCTTCTTCTTCTTCTTCGTCATTCATCATTAAAAGCAAACGAGAAGAAAAATGACTAACAGAATCTAAGAAATAAATTGATGTGTTAAAGTCCCGATGATATCATAAAATAACATGAGAAGATTAATTACTATTAGGAGAAAAATTTTCGTAAGAAGGTAAAAGATGTTCGATATGTCACCGTGAGGGCGGTCTCGTACGATTTCAGCGATACTATTGATCGACTAGAACAATTAACGAATAAGAACAGTAGGATGGGTTAAGATCGTTCGATAAAAAATAGGGAAAAAAAAAAGAAAAGTCATTGTTATAACAATTAAAGAGATATATATATATATATATATATCTTTTTTTTTTTAAATAAAAAGTTAGATTTGTAAGAATTGAAAAAATAAATGTAAAATGTAGTACGGGCCGCCTCCAAGGCGTGGCGTATATAATAAATGTAATAAAGTAGAGATATGTGGTCTACGTTAGATCAATTATTTGATGACGATTATCGATCGAATTGTTAAGACGCAATGAGAGACAGACGGTCGCGTTGATAAGTCTTAGGGTCGAAGGAAAGCAATCAAATCTACCTTGTATGATACTTACTTTCCAACAAAGTTTTCGAGTACGGAACTTTTTCCCGCACTCTGACCGCCCACTACCGCGATTTGCGGTAAATCGAGTTGCATGTGGACCCCAAGTTGCGTGAACGCATCCTGCAGCTTGTTCACGATCGGGATTAGTTGTTCCATACCCGTATTCCCAGCCATTTTTTCTTTTTCCCTGAAGTCGTCCTAAGAATTCACAAGTCGAGGAATACGAGTTCCTACCTTCCGATCTTCTGCTTGCTCTTCTCCGACGATTGTGACACGGATCGACACTACCTTAGGTAACAGTATTAGTAGTAGTGTAATAATAATTGTAGGAAGAGTAGTAGGAATAGTAGTAGTAGTAGTGATAGAAACAGCAATAGCAGCAGTAGCAGCAGCACCAGCACACACACCAATACCACTACCACCGCCGCTCCTCACGCGCGCAATCCTCGAGGGTAACTGCCACAAAACGAGATCCCAGTCGTTTTTTTCTGCAGGTATCTCTCTCTCTTTCTCTCTCCCCCCGAAACGCTATCAAAATGGCCGATTTCGTGAAGAGTATCCTATCCCTAACACGCCAAATTTCACCGCATCTTTTCTAGAGAACAAGAGAAAAAAGAAAAAGGTTTCTCGTTGGTTTTTCTTTGCTAATTTTTTCTTTCCTGTCAACTATAGTAACGCTTAACCTTATTTAACGCGTTATTTCCGTGTAGATAATGGAACGCATAACGTACCTACTTACTCTCTCTAACAACTCACCGTGGCCACTACCTTCGTATAAATGAGATCTAGCGTACAAACTCGAAGTAACGTAACGTCGCTTCAATCGATAATCAAAGCGTGCGCACTATCGCGTCTCCTTCGTATTGACCCACTTTTCTTCCTTCCGAGATAAAATCCATATCGTCTTCCCGTCGGTGACCTTTTTACTTTAACATTCTGATCAATTTCAACCTTCTTCTTCTTCTTTTTGTTCTTCCTCCTAATTTTCTTACCGCATTACCGATCTCTATTTCTCTCTTTCTTTCTTACTTACTTTTTATATCTCTTTTCTCTCTTTACTTGATCCTCCTCTCTCTTATTCCACCTCTTTTTTTAACGATCTTTTTAACGGTTGCCTCGAATAAATTCAAATCTACGCGGGATAAACATTCGAACAACTAAAGTGAACTCATCCGCGTTCGTTTTTTTTTCTCCTTCTCTTTTCGATACTCGATCAATGTCTATTGGGAACACGTTATTCCGAATATAATCGAACAATCGAACGTGTAATCGTTTTTACAAATTTATCGATCGTCAATGATCTTTTCAAATTCATCTATGCCCAAATATTGATTAGATTTCGTATATCTATTGTAAACGATCTGATGTGAATAAAAATAAATGAGTGTATTTTTAAATTGATCTTTCAATTTTGTATAATCGAATGTGATAAAAGCTAATTAACGAAATATTCGTTTATTCGTACTTTGATATCGATTAGTCGAATCCATTTTTCTTCATCCGACATTTTCTTTTAGGTCAATTTTGGTACTCGTAAGGCGCATACGCAACGATAAAAAAAGCTTTCATTGAGGCAAACATATTAAAACGTTTCCACGATCGTTTATATGCTCACTGAGCGTTTCAAACATCGATTGAATTATTTTAACCAATTTTTGTCTATTCGATTATCCATTCAACGAATTTTCGTGTTATAGACATCGATGAATAAAAAATGTGAATGCTTTGTGAAATAGTGTTATTCGTTATTATTCCTCGAATATGCGTTTTTTCAATTTTTTATTAATAAATATAAATCTAGTATTCTTGTGTAGGATGCAGTTAAGTTTGAGTTTTCTCTACATCGGTGGTTGAATGAGGGCGCGACCGGTATTTTCCCGTAGTACAAATCCAAAATGTCAGACATCGATAAATGGATAGATATCGCTAAAGAATGCAAATATCTTCCGGAAAATGATCTTAAGGTAATTAATGTCTGTGAGAATACAATTATCATGACATAGTGGATAGAATATATGATTTGAATAGAAGATAACCTCAATACTTGATATTCGTATAATTACTTTGAAACGATCCATTTACTCCAATAACCGTAACAATTTTGTTACTTTTATAGAAACTCTGTGACATTGTGTGTGATTTATTATTGGAAGAGTCCAATATTCAACCTGTGTCTACTCCGGTAACGGTTTGTGGCGATATCCATGGACAGGTAAAAAGAACATTTTCAATCTAACCTTATAATTCTCTCTAAAACTATGTAACTACATATATTGTTTATATTGTGTTTACGTGTTATATATTTCTATTATCTTTATTAATTTTATTTTCAACGCTGAGGTTGATAACAGAAGTTTTATTTTTATCTATGACAATTTTAGTTTTATGATCTGGAGGAATTATTCCGTAATGGAGGACCTGTGCCTGATACAAATTATATATTCATGGGTGATTTTGTGGATAGGGGCTATTATAGTTTAGAAACATTTACACGCCTACTCACGCTTAAAGCTAAATGGTCTGATAGAATAACATTACTCAGAGGGAATCACGAATCAAGACAAATTACACATGTCTATGGATTTTATGGTTTGTTCAATGTTATATCGTTCTTTTACTTGTCGAGTCTATCTAAATGATGTATAATATCATTTGCCTTGTATATATGTATTACTTCTTTATCTATTTTTAATTAGATGAATGTCAAAACAAATATGGCAATGCGAATGCATGGAAGTATTGCTGCAGAGTCTTTGATTTGCTCACAGTTGCTGCCGTAAGTTGACGTGTTCTTAATTCTTGTGTCATAAGAGCAATAAGTCATTTTAATATTCTAAATTTTTTAGTTAATCGATGAACAAGTTCTTTGTGTACATGGTGGATTATCCCCAGCTATTTCAACGTTAGATCAAATTAGGACTATTGAAAGAAACCAAGAAATACCGCATAAAGGTTTTGGAGAGTTACTATTTATTATTTTAACATAATATTCATATTTCTTTATTTGCAATTGTTTATCGTTAGGTGCTTTTTGCGATTTGGTATGGTCTGATCCAGAAGACGTGGATGGATGGACAGTTAGTCCACGAGGAGCTGGTTGGCTGTTTGGAAGTAGAGTTACTTATCAATTTATGGAAATAAATGACCTTAAACTAATTTGCAGAGCTCATCAACTGGTGCATGAAGGTGAGTACTTGTTAAAAAGATTAGAATTTTGTCATACGACTTTTTTTTTATATCGCATATAACTTGTAGCGAGTTAATATATCAATTATTTTATTTATAGGCTATAAATACATGTTTAATGACAAATTAGTGACAGTCTGGTCAGCTCCAAACTACTGTTACAGATGTGGTAATGTAGCTAGTATTTTACAGTTTACAACAGTAGATCATAGATGTCCAGTGCTGTTTCAGGCAGTACCTGATTCGGAAAGAGTGATTCCACCTTTAATCACAACTCCATACTTTTTGTGATTTAACTTAGTAATTCGTTCGTTTGGACGCAGAGAGGAGATATCTGTGTCTAGACTCAATAGAATTACATGATTTTTGGATAATGAATCCAGGCTGGTACTATGACGGAGCATAAAAATTCCCTAAAATATATTGCAGAATATTGTATTGCTTAAAATTTTTTATCTCCTTTTGAGTTGAATTAATTTTTTAATTTCTATTAAAAATACATATTTTAATGTTTTTCTAATCAAACTTGTATAACTTTGCAGGCAATTTACTATGTAATTATTACGAGAAAAAGTATTTAAAAATTTTTAAAGGATTTTATGAACTTTTGTATATTAAAAAGCCAATTTTTATACGTAGCATCTGCCATTGCATCAGCCTGATTTCTCTAGTTTAAAAATATTTTCCATTGGAATAAATGTGAAACACTTTATGGTCTAGACGCTTCGCTGTCTACTGTGTACATTCTATAGAGCATTCGTATCTCAGAGCAACGTTGTGAACATATTGTTGCGAAAAGGCTGAGGCTTTTTAAATAATTTATGAACATAATTAAGTAAATGGTCCAACTATGTGTGTGGATGGATAAATAAACAGATGTCATATATAAACATTCCGGCATATAAGACAGGCGCTCTGAGTACAATCAATGCTTCATTGATATTATGATCGTTGTGCATAGAATTCAGGTTTATTCAAGCGTAAGCGTATATACTATTGTTAAGGTCTTCCTGAGTAAATGATACATTTCCGATTTAGTAGATATACATACTGGTGTGCTGCGTGCAATTTTTTAATTCTAGATGCGCAATCAGTGTTCTTAGCAGCATAAATTTGGCGTTTATATGCCATGGTACAAATAGCGTATAGCAGTAGCCAAAGTTTTTCTGCCTAGGTGAGGAAATCTACGAGAGGATTGTATTATTCGTAATTGTTTTTCTTTTATTTCTCTTTTATTTTGTTTCGTTTCTATCTTTTATCCTTTTTACGCACATGACATTTTTTTATATCATCTTTTAAAACATATATATAGCTCTCAATATCGATCACCTGCAAAGTATACTCTATAATTCTATTAGTATTCGTTCATAAAGCTCGGCCTTTTTAGCCATTTTTCTCTCTTTCTATATAAGTACAAAGCAATAGTTTTGAATATTATTATATATTCTCCGCGTCTTTGTACAGTTTCCACGTTGTATGCCAAATTGCTGTTGTACTGAATAATCGTATTAGCTAGTTTCTTATAAGTTCATTACTATAGGGAGCAACTTGTAAAAAATCGAGACCCTTAGCAATGTGCCTCTCTAAATTGATAAGCGTTTGTGTAATATAATATGATGACAGTATCGATACATAATTAATGGGAACGCACTGGCCATTGCGTATTATAAGCCTGAATTCTGACCATCGATTGATGATTAGCTCACGATATTCCTAATTGATCACAGACCCGATTAATATCGCATTGGCAATTGGCACTGGCTGTCAAGTATGGAAATTATTCTATTTTGAATTTTGTGATATAGATCGAACGAGGCATGTGAACGTTATGTCGACGTTTATAACGATTCTCCTTGTCGAAATCGTTCGAAGATGTTTTAATAACTTGTTACTTCAAGGAATATAGTAAACATTTGAAACAGTGCCTTCAGAACTATAATACGACACGGTCTACTAGAAATAAATACTTTCTACCGACAGATAGTAATAGAAGTAAGACGAATTATATGAATGCCAGAGAGTTCAACGAGGACGTATAACACACATATACGTATAGAAAAGATCTCTTTATCCGTTTCTGTTCTAATCGCTTTGAAGAACATTCTACGGAACGTTTGCTCTTCTAATGAAATTAATTGCACATATCACGTATTTTTATTATATATCACTTATGTGCTTTAGTCGACTATTTAACATTTTAACTAATTGAACTTTCGTGGCGGTCGATAACAGATTAACCGTCCGACTTTTCAGTTTATTCACATATCTTATATCATTTTTATTATCTTTATTCGAAAAAAAGCAAAAGGAAACAAAAAGAGAGAGAGAGGGAGAGAAAGCGAGAGCGAGAGAGAGAGAGAGAGAGAGAGAGAGAGAGAGAGAGAGAAAGAAAGAGAGAGAGATAGAGAGAATGAAAGAAAAAAAGAAAGAAAGAAAAAGGAAGTAAGATGTCTAGAAGAAATAAGAAGAGAGATGAAGAAACAAAAAATAAAAATAAATAAAAATAATAAAATAACAAAATAAAATAAAATAATAAAATAAAAGATGAACCCGTCTTTTGAGATAATTAAGTAGATTTAAAAAAAAAACACAAATTCCGACCATTCGATTTATTCGGTTCTCGTCATTTAAAAAAAGGAAAAAAAAGAAATCAGCAACGCGCGT